TGGACAGCCTAGGAGGAGTGAGCTCTTTGTCCCTGGAAGTATTCATACAAAGTGGGGAATGGTTTTTCTTTTCAGGGATCTTCATTTGACATTGACTGTATCTTGTCGATTCTACCGTCATAGATGGTTCTGTGGCTGTCCTGTCCCCCGTCCTACTGCTCTAAAGCACAGGACCAACTGTAAGACTTCCCCATGGACTCCTTATTGTCCAGGGTAAAACACAGACTCCTAGGTCTTGTACTTTCACTGTCCCTTGTCTTCCTTCCTCCCTCCCTCCCTCCCTCCCTTCCTTCCTTCCTCCCTCCCTCCATTCCTCCCTCCATTCCTTCGTTCTTTCCTTCCTTCCTCCCTCCCTCCCTTCCTCCCTTCCTTCCTTCTTTCCTTCCTTTCTTCCTTCCTCCCTTCTTTCCTCCCTCCCTTGCTATCTTCCTCCCTTCCTCCCCATGGGGAATCATACTCTTACATGTAGGTGCTCTGTCAAAGAAATATAAATTAAACCTTGCAAGATATCTTGTAGTTTGGGGTCTAGATTTTTTTTTTCTTCTCTACTTATGTATTCTATCATTGTTATCCCCCTCCCCCCAAACCAAACAAAACAAAAACAAAAACATCTGAGACAGTTATCTCTTTTGTCCCATGTAGTTTCATTTTTGATTTCTTGAAATTGAGCTCTGGAAAACCAGGCTTTGATAAAAGCCCATTTGGATCCAAATGGAGCTACTTGACTATGCCTTTAAATCTCCATCTCTCTGGCTGACTGGGCATTAATAGGTCTCAGCCCAAGCCTCACTGGGTCGTTGTTTGGGCCTTGACATCTCAGAGTGAGTGTAAATAGTGATTGTTTCTTTTCTGGTCAGAAAACCTGAGGGTCTCCCTCTCCCAGATTGATTGTTTCTTTGCCTCAGTTCTTACCTAGCCTTAAGTCACTGAATGGGTGTTGCCTCAGACAAACTGAGACCTGGGAAAGACCTTAGCTTAAAAAGGCCAAGGTCCCACTGCATCCAGGGTCATAACCAGCCGAGCTGACCTATATCTTGCCACTGGACTCAGATGACTCTGGGGGAGAGAGTTAGGCTGGTGCCTTTGCACAGCCCTGCCTCATTTAAATCCAGTTCAATTGCAAGTCTAGACCTCACCCTCCTGATGTCATTGGTCCTCTTCTAGAATGAAGAACAACAAAGAATAATTTCTTCATCAGATTTCCACCCCGCCCCCAACACACAAGGTTCCCGAGGGAGGGAGGGCAAGGACCAATGGGGTTTGTTTGTTATGATTCCCTAGTGCCTTGTATTTAGTAGGTGCTTAATAGCTGTCTGCTGAATTGACTGTAGGAAAGGGGTTTCCTGCTTTAGTTATTTTGATAAAGTGTTCATGTGAGACATATATAAATTTCTCCCCACCCTTCTGCCCCCACCTGCTTTAAAATCCTCTACTCTGGATGGCTCCCAGCCCCTGGATTGGGAGCCTCCCAAGGGCAGGCACTGGGCTATGCCAGTTGTTGTACAGTGTCCAGCAGGGTACGGTTTTGAGAGTAGGTACTTGAGATAGTCTCAGGGGCAGAAAGGAGTCCGCAATGCAGCGGGCAGGTGATTTTCATGTTCCGTGTCGTGGGGCCATAACCAAGGGGTGGCCACAGGTGCTAGGAGACGTTCCCAAATCCACTTGCTAGAGGGATGACCTATGCTGCTGGTGACAAAGCACCTGGCTTTCTTTTCTCATTAGTGTGAAAATGTGATTTCGGTTTTATGGCTTTTATTTTAAAAGAAGGTTCATTTTTAAGGGGAGGGGGGAAGCCTTGCTGTCATTTCTGCCCGCTTACAACCTCTTACTTCCTTTAATGATCATCCTTCTCTCTGCCACATTTCCCAGAGTTTCTCCAGGTGTGCATTTTTCTCCTGTTTTAGCTACTTTTGCTGTAAGTGGAAATCGACTGGTTGTGGCTCCCTTGGGACCCCTGCTACTTGAGGGGTCATCAGTAACGTGTGATAGATGGCTCTTTGGTGGTGCTGACCGGAACGTTAGCCATACGAATCAATACAGGAGGCCTGGGGTCAGAAGGGAAAGTTTTTCTTTAAAGTACACTGTGAGGTTTCAAAACAAAGGCTTAATTTTTACAGAAAGGCGGTGGGATTTTTTCCTATTGCTTTTCCATACTCTGTCATTGTTAATGCATCTGGGTTTGAATCTCTGGATTCTGGTTTTTGTTGTTTTCGGTGGAGCAGATGAGATCACGAAAGCAGAGCTGAGAGGGTTTCAGGTCATTCAGTTCTTTTAATAGAGATTGCTTCTAGGAGGCGCTGCTTGCCACCGCTGCTTTGAGTGGTGCTCTCTGGGATGCGCTCAGTGCCACCTTGGAGATCAGGGATGATGGCAGCATTCTCTCTGGCCTTTGCCCAGGCAACGAGCCTCCAGAGGCAGAGCTTGATGGTGATGGGAAGCCTTTCTTTGCAGACTCTTTGGGGCTCATCATTGTCCCCTTGCCAGTGTTCACATTCCACTAACGAAATCTACTCGCGGCTTGTCCACAGGCCATTAGTTCCTGAATTATGGCTTGCATATTTGCTTACTCCAACATCACTGTTGCTCAAAGATTCATTACTTAGCAAGGTGGCTTCTCTGAGGAGGAGGAAACTGTTGCCTGTCACCATTTGTTTTCTGCATTTCTTTTCCACTGGGAGACATTTTTCAGTTCCAAGAACTGGCTGGTGGTGTGGATGACGGGAACCTTGGGAGAAAGGGACCGTGCCGTCTTGGAACTTGTAATAGCAGAAGAAGGGAGCACAGACAGTACCGAGGGAGAGCAGAGAATTAGAGGTGGATGGGACCTCAGAGGATCCCTGAGTCCAGCCTGTCCGTGAAACAGGTGTCCATACTCAGCCGCGATGGGGAGCCCCTTCCCAAGACAGCCACTCCACTCTTGGGCAGTTCTGATTCCTGAGAGGTCCATTTTCCTTCCGGTGTTCCTGATAGAAGAAAAAAATCTGCCTCTGTGCAGACCTGTTCCTAGCTTTGCTATCTTTAGCCTAGCATAACATTCCTAATCTCTCACCATGGGGCTGCCTTTCAAATAGTTGGAGACTTCTCCTGAGTTTTCTCTTCTGCAGGCCGGACATCTTCACTTGGATCAAACAAGGGATTCTTGTAGGGCGTGGTTCCCAGTGCCCTCAGCATTCTGCTTTCCCTCCTGGGTACATTCACTCGGTTAGGAATCCTTCTAAAATGGAGCACCCAGAGGGGAACAGATGCTCCAAGTGCTGTTAGAGAGGTCCGACAAGGAAGGCCCGTCCCCTCCCTCGTTCGGGATGTCGCATCTCTATGCTGTGAGGATGGAGTCGCCTGCTGGGCTGCCAGGTCATGACTTTGGCGCACTGGCCCTCTTTGCATTGGCTTCCTCAGATTTTTCTCCCACCATCTACTGTCCCTCTGTGCTTCCTTGGGTCTCCATTTGGGTTTTCCCCTACTCTGTAGAAATTGGAAAAACACATTTTAGAGCATCCAGAGAAAAAAAAGGTGGTTGGGATCTCTCTCTTTTTTTTTTTTTTTTTTGGTTAGGCAGTGGGGTTAAGTGACTTGCCCAGGGTCACACAGCTAGTAAGTGCTATGTGTTTGAGGCCGGATTTGAACTCAGGTCCTCCTGAATTCAGGACCGGTGTTCTATCCACTGTGCCACCTAGCTGCCCCTGTGGGGATCTTCAGAGAAGACACAGTAATGACCAGTTCTGTACTACAGGATGCTGACCTGATCTGCCTTATTGAAGTGTCTGGGGAGGTGTGGAAAGGATTGGCCTCGATGCCCTCTGGGGGCTTTCCAACTGAGACACGAAGAGTGAGGGCGGCTCTGCAGGGATGTCCCCAGCTCGTGATGCCTGGATGTGGTGCTGTAAGGCTTCTGGGCACTCGCCCATTTCTAGTGTTCTCCCCACAGAACAGAGCCTCGTCCATGTATCATTGCCCCAGAGTAAGCTGGTGGGTCAGGCAAGGTGTCCACGGGCCCGGGGGTTGAACCGCGTAGGGAGCTCTCCAATGGGCTCTGGTTTTAAAATGAGCCTTTGAGAGGCATGGAAGCGCCAGTCCCCCAGGCCAGCTCCCCATTGGACTTTCAACTCCTTGAGGGTAGAGATTGTTTGACTCTTTTGCATTTGCCTTCCTAGAACTGACCAAAGTCTTAGCTCATGGTGCAGGCTTAGTAGATTCTTTATCATTCATTCATTCCATGGTGTAGAGTATTCTCAGTGAGATCTACAGTCATTCAAAAGACACGTGTGTGTGTGCGTGTGTGTGTGCGTGTGTGTGTGTGTGCGTGTGTGCGTGTGAGTGTGTGTGTGTGTGTGTGTTAGTAAGGGTTGTGAGGGATAATGGCTGCAGGGAGGCCTGGCAGAAACAGAGAGGACCCCATCCCCGCCCTGTGAAGGGCTTAGGAGAGGCTGTGGGCCAGAGGCTCCTGGAGAGGCTCTGAACTCTCCAGGGAGCTTCCCTTTTCGCTGGTGCTCTGCTGGCTCTTGGCTCCTAAGAGCGTCCTGCCCCAGGCTGGGCGCCCTCCGGCTCCCTCCTGTGTTGTCTTTCCCCTTTAGGTTGTAAGCTCCTGGAGGGCTAGGACTGCCTTTCTTTTTCTTATTTGCATTTTCAGTACTGAGCGTGGTGCCTGACAGGTAGTATTTGCTTAATAAGGGTTGACTATTGACTGTCATCTAATGGAAAGTGTTTTATTTCATCCTAATATATGGTACTGAAGGTAAAACCCTGGACTGAGCCTTGAGAGGGGACCAGAGAGATAGGGCCCTGCCCGCCTATACATGAGCACAAATGAATCCAGAGTAGATTTGGGGGGGAGGTTTACTAAGGAAGGACAAGCTCATGGCGCGGAGGGGACATGTAACACCAACCAGAGGTGCGAGATGTGAGTCAGAATCTTGGCTTGCGCAGCTGCTGAATGGGGATGGAAGGCCATGTGGCCTTGTCTTGGTTATATCTTGATGAGTTTTTCTGGGCTCTTATTTTAGGATAACTACACCTTTGCCCAGCCTGGCATCCAGATGAAAGTGCGTCTGTTGGAGGAGCTCGTCGGCCGGATTGATGGTAAGTACGTCCGCCCGCCTCAGCTCTGGTAGCCCCCGTGACGGCGCGACGTGCGGCATCGAGGGCAGAACTGCCCTCGCTCCTTTGTGTCAAGCTTGATGATCAGAGTTCGGGGCGTCTCTGGGCACGAGGGGGTGGGGCTCAGCCAAGGAAGAGTTATCCTTCATGAGGCCCAGAGGATACCCAGGCTGTCCTTTGGCCCTGTCGGCTGCCTTGCTGCGTCGTTTTGCTGTCAAGGATGTCAGAATAATTTCTCTGTGGAATCCGATCAATTACCAAGTCTGGAAATAACATCTTTAATATTGTAGATAAATTACAGTGTGTGGCAGGGTGATTTCAGATGATACTTTGCAGGTTTAAGAAGGGTGCCTTGAAATGCTTTCTACCTACATCCTTAAAATCACTACCCCCATGAAGTGCTGACTGTCGTATTGCAAAAGAAGAGTTTAATTAAATGAAATGGAAGAGATAATGCTTGCCCACTCTAAGTACCTTCTCTGGGTACTTTGTGGAATTAATGAACAGAGCATTAGCACAGTGTTGCAGAGCAGAACTCAGCCCCTTTTGGTGACACCAGCCAGCCAGCAGTGAGACTGGGGGGAGAGGGCAGAAAAAATACTGTTTCTTCTGTGGCTCCTGTGTCTATGGTGAATGATTTCATTGTCCATTGAAACATGAGGACGTCCGTTGGACTCCACTTGTTGGAGAGGTGCGGGCCCTGGCCTTTTCGGGGGGTGAGGAAAGGAAGGTTTCAGATACGTACACATACACACACATGCATACATGTACATTTTTATGTAGATACACATTTGTGCATACATACCTGTATGCCTTTGGTAATAGGAGAAAGCCATGGCATTTTTCTTTGATGTTCATAATCACAGCTGACTTTCCCGAAGTGCTTTGATTTGAATCTCCCAACACTTTTGGGAGGGAGCTGACCAGGGCCAAGGTCCCTCATTTGACACATGGAGAATCTGGGGCCCCAGCTGGGTCAGGGACTTCCCTGAGGCCCCATGGGCAGGAAGCCTGTCAGTCGGTCCACAAGCAGTGAATACGAGCTCACTGTATGCCAGGCCCTGGGCTCAGAGGGAGGATTGGAACGCAGACTCTCTGACTCCTCGAGGCCATGCCTGGGATCACCTCAGTTGGGGCTGGAGGGGCCTCCGAGCTCTCCCCAGGCTCCCCCTGCAGGGCTGGGTACGGCTTCTTCCAGCTCTCTCCGAGTCAGTGGGATTGTGAATATGAGGGCCACAGCTGGTGAGAATTCTCTTTCCATGTTTTCACACTTTTCACTCATTTCAAACAGAAAGTTTTCTTTTTATGAATCTACTTTCCCCCCAACAACAGTTTCCCTAGAATTCTTGAATTCTGTGAAGTTAATTGGGAATAGACTTTCTGAGCAGCTGCCTCTTTTGTCCTACGTACTTAGCATGGCACATTTTGTGGGTGTTAGAAGGAAGAACCTGGGCCCTGGGCCCCGTGTGGCCGGCTGTAGTCCATGGCTTGGGCTCATGGAGGGAGTTCTGGGGTTCTACCCTGGCTCCACCACTCTCTGGATATGTGGTCCCCGCCAAATGTCTTCCCCTTCCCCCATCAAATAGGCCCCTTCTGGCCCTGACGTTGGAGGATTCCGGGCCCCTGAGCCCATTAGAACTCTGGGCGGCCAGAGAGATCTCCTTGGGTAAGAATCCCAAGGGCCTTTTGTCCTGCTTCCCCCATCTCACCCCCATGCTGATTTTGTATAACTGGCCCGGCCCTTCGGGGAAGCATTTTGGAACTACATCCCCCAAAGCTGCCGAACCATTAGACTCCCCCTTTCGCCCAGCGATGCCATCGCTAACTGGCTCTGTATCCCAGAGATGTCAGAGAGGGAAAGCAACCATGCGGACAGACATCTGGACGGCAGCTCTTTCTGTGGGGGCAAAGAGCCAGAACCTGAGGGGACGGTGAGGTTTCAGAGGAGCCTGGGAAGATGTGTGTGAGCTGCACACGCCATGACAACAGCACTGTCAAAGCAGACACCCCTCAGAGCGGCAGGGTCTCTGAGCTCTGCAGTGACCTCACGCTGGTCCCGAGGATCGGGGGTGACCTAGGCCGCCCGCCTCTGGACTGAGCGGGGACGCACTCAGAGAGCAGGCTGAGGGGCACGTTTTTAGATAGGGCTCACGGAGAAATCTGGTTTTTTCTTTTTTCCCCTGCAATCGTGGAGCCGTCTTCCCCATGCCATGGCACCAAGGCCTGTCTGAGGGGACTGCCTCCCATCCAGCTTAAAACAGAAGCTGCTCCTGGTGGGCAGGAGTGTTTTTTGTGGGTGTGAAGTGCCGTAGGGAACGGACCACAGGCTTACCTGGTTTGCTGGGCCCTCAGGGCTGAAGGAGGCAAGGTGAGTCAGAATCACAACAAGGTTTGCCTTTGGCATCACGGATGGAAACTTCCACACACGCAGGTCTGCGGCACGGCCTTGGAGAACAAAGGAGAGGCTGTGTTCACCCTTGCATGTGTGGCGGGATTTGAACCCAGCGTTGCTGCCATGGAACACTTCCTCCTCAGGCCTTAGTTTCCTCATTCGGGGACTGAGAGGTGGTTGCCAGGTCCTGTCCCCCCCTCCCCCGCATGAATCTTTGGTCAGATATTGTCCAGGTGCAGCTTATCTGTCCACTGAGAGCAGCCTAGCTTCCCGGATCAGGAGGGCCTCTCCCTTTGTGTCCATTGCTCTCGGGCAGGGCTTTTGTCAAGCACACTCCAGGCGTGGGCCTGATGACCAGAGGTCTAAAGCATGGCAGCAGGCCCCTTCCCTCAGGCTGTCCTGTGGGCCTTCGCTAGGCCTGGTCAGTGGGGAGCCGGAGAGGGCTTCCTTGGGTTTCTGGTGCTTCTCCCCAGTGAGGACGCTCCTCAGGGGTCTGCTCTGACCCTTGCCGCAGCCCACGTAGCAGAATACCCAGAAGCCATTCTCTCCGGGGGATACGTACCTGGAACAAGCCCTGCGGGTGTCCCATGGAGCAGACCAGAGCCAGCCCTGGGCACCTCGGCTCCTGTGCGGGCCTCCTTGTTTGCCCGGGGCTCGGGCTGGAAGGCCATGATGGAGAGCAGGGCTCCCTCCCCAAGGCTCGAAGATGGGACTGCTCCGTGTGTTCTGCCCCTGCCCGTTTGTTTGAGGTCCACTGGGCTTTCCATGTTAAAGCCTCTGTGTGATGTTCCCATCTTGTGTGCGGCTGAATCCCCCTGCCGTGTTCTTGCCAGAGGACCGCTGCAGGGCTGCTTTTTGCCACGTCTGCCTTCCATGCTGGGATTGGCTCATTCTTCTCTTTCTGCCGGGTTTGTGATAAGCGGTGTGTCTCCCCCTCCCCTCCCACATCTGTGACCTCCATGGCTGAGTCGTCAGCTGGGGGGGACATTGGTGATGCTGCCGTGTGACCGACCATCTCCTCATTGATCCAGCAGTGCCGTCCTCCTCACCGGGCTTGCTCCTCAGCCTTATCTCCCGCTCCTTCCGTGTAGCTGTGATGGTGCTGGCCACAGGAAGACAGGAGGAGTTCTGCCAACTCTTGGTCCCCTTCTGCTGATGCCCCGCACCCTGGCAGCCAGTGTGAGTGCAAGTGTGGACGCTCCGGCGCCAAGGTCGGGGCACCGAGGCCTCCGTCTGAGGGGTCGGGCTTCCTCCGG